GAGGAAGGGGAGGGGTGGGGATAAAGGAGAGAAGAGGGGAGGGGAAAGAAAGGGAGGGGGAGAAGAGGGAGAGGAAGGAGGGGAGGGGTGGAGAGGACTTGACTTTAGCCAGGCTGAGGTGAGTGGGCAATTGAAAGCAACGTACTTCATTTCCTCCTGAGCCAAGGCAGGGTTTGAAGTGATAGTCTGGCTCGGGTCCAGACCTTTGAAGGAAGTGGAATTCATCATCAGATTGCTGTGCCCTAACACTGAACAAAAATCTCTTCTATCTAAACGTCATGTCTGAGGTTCGTCTAGTGGCTGGGCTACGGCTAGGGAGTTTACTGAAAGCCATGAATCTAACGTCCACTTGTGGGTGCGTAGGGGTGATGGGCAGAGTTACAGGTCTTCAAGCCTTCCATTTTTCAAAAGTTCTCCTAACCCCAGGCACAGCCTCGGGGCAGGTCTGCTGGCGTCGCCAGTGGAAGACCATCCCTTTCCTTCCTGCGTCTCTTCCAGGCTCCTCCCAGCCGTACTTCAGTCTCAGCTGCAGCCCAGGACGCCGGGGCCACCCTGCCCCAGCCCACGGGCCCATGTGAACCAGTCGGCTGGAATGCAGAAACTCTGCAGTTTTCTAAGTCATCATCAGAGGCACAATCTGGCAAATCGGCCATTTGTGAGACAGTGCGATCCCCCCCATCTCACCTAACCCTACTGTGGAGGGAAGAATTGAGTGTCGTCAGTGGCTTCGGGCTCTTTCTGTTGACAAAAAGAATCGTCCCTAAAATCGAGTTCTAGCTAAATTGAGAACACAGTTTCCAATTAGTACCTGAAAGACACATCAGGAACGGCCTTCGGTAATTTTCAGATTGCTAGATAACTTTGTGTCTAGAGTTCTGTATTAAAAATTTCCTCGCTCTCACTGTTTCTGTACTTTGGAGTACAACTCTGTCAACAGAAGAGAAGAAAAACGTTAGTGTCAAGATATGACAAACAAATCTTGGTGTTAAAGCTCGTCGGTGTCCAAAGCCCCAAGAACCGTGAGATCCGTGACCTGAGCCGCAATCAAGGGCAGGATGCTTAAACGACTCAGCCACCCGGGTACCTTTCTTAAATGTTTCTTGATAAATGTTTCTCAATAAAACACCTTTTTCTTTCTTTGTCTGAAATTGAAAACCCAAACTCTCAGCCCAAAGTAAGTTTTAGGATCTGAGCCTAGGAAAAAAGTGAAGCTAGAGGGAAAAGAGGGACAGTGAAATATTGCCGGGACCTGAGGCTAGGTTTCATGGCTAGCCGTGAGGACCTGTGTTCTTCGCATGAGTTTTCAGCAAATCCAAAGTTTGCTGATGAAGAGGTATGAATGAGTGGAAAGCAATCACGGGGGAGACAA